TAATATATTATATCATATATATGAGTATGGTGTGTGAGTTGGCATGAATCATCTAGGGAAAGCCCACATCATCTGGCCCCTCTCTCTCTTTTCTCTCTCTCTCTCTCTCTTTCTCTCTCTCTCTCTCACTTTCACTCTTTAACACACAACGCAACTTCTCTGGTTCCCTCACCACCAACTCTTTCTCTGGTTCTCACCGGCAGCTTCTCACCGCCGATTCATCTCTCTCTCACGATATCTCCTCTCTCTCTGGATCTCCTTCTCTCTCTCTCTTGTTTTTTGCTTTTATTCTTCAGATCTAGAAAATGGTAGAGATGAAGATAAAGATGTTGCTGGTGGAGCTGTGTTTTTTTACTGTTTTTCCATTTTTTTTTTTTTTTTTTTTTGGCCGAGGATTTTCGGGGTCGAGGAAACTCGATCCCCATTAGGAGGCGGGGGTGGGGGCGGTAGTGGGTTCCCCATCGAGGATTAGGGCTGGGGACATGGGAGTTTTTACCATCGGGGATCGGGGACAGGAAGAGTGATCCCTGGCCCCACCCCGCCCCGTTGCCATTCCTAGGTAGGAGTAGTACTGATAGAAGATAAGTTGAGAGAGAATAAATTAAGATGGTTTGGTCATATACAACGGAGATCAACAAAGATAGTGGTGAAAAAATATGATACAGTGACGGTAAATAGTAATGTTAGGAGAAGAGATAAACCTAAATTGACATGAACTAGTGTAATAAATAGAGATATGAATCTCCTTAATTTAATTAACGAAATATCCATGAATAAAGTCTCGTGAAGAAGAAGGATTCATGCAACCTACCTCATTTGATGAAACTTAAAGTTTGGTTTGGTTTTGTTTACTAAAAGAAAAATCAATATCTTACCAAAATAATAATATCTACCATCACTATTATATAAATGTATTGTCTATAGTTAGTTATTATTTGCATATAAATAAATTTAATTGTTATTTACATTATTTAAATATATAAATAAAATATTTATTTTATTTTTTATACATTATTTAATATATAAATAACATATTTATTTTAGGGGGATGCACCAATAAATCCCAAATTAATAACTTATACACTGTTTAGTCCTAAAAGTTTTCTTATAGGCTGAAAGGTCCCATTACAATGTTTCAAACATCAGATTAATGTTTCGAACATTAGATTTCGAACATCAGATTAATGTTTCGAACATTAGATTCCAAACATCAGATTAATGTTTCGAACATTAGATTGATGTGCAAATGGGACTAAATGAAGCATAAGAAAACTTTTAGAACTAAATGGTTCAACTTTTCAGAAACTAAGACTTATGGGTAAATTTTCCTTTATTTTATTACTCTATTTAAACAAATGTTAAATGAGCCGAGCTAATGAGCCAAATTTTAATATGTTGATCTTATTTATTAAAATTTTAATGAGTTTGAGTTTAAATTCTAACTCAATAAAAATTTAACGAGTCAAATTCGAATAAGCCCTTACTATATTAAGCTCGAGCCAATTCATGAACGAGTCTATCCATTTACTGCTGCTTTAATTCGACATAGGCCTATTTTGACAATTAGAAAATAAATCAGATTATTGACTTATTGGAGTCATGTTATTTATCTACTTTTTTTTTTTTTTTTACACTTTTCTTCAAAAAAATTTTTTTTTTTTAAATCAGAACATTAACTTCTTTTTTTTCTACTTCTCAAAATAGGTTATACTAAAAATTGTTTTAAAAAGTAGGTTAAAAATTAATTTTTTGATTTTAAATTTTTTTTAAAAAAAAATTAAAAATAAATAGATAACATGACTAAAAAAAAATTACTCATTTCATTCCAAAATATTAGTCCCTTATTTTAGTTTTTATTGTCTCAAAATATTAGTTCTTTTCAAAAATCAAGTACAAAAATAATATAAATTTTCTATTTTACTCTTCTTTTAAATTCATTAAGATAAAAAGTATAATTATGATATTGATATTCTCTAAAAAATGTATAATCAAAAATTAATTTTGAAATTTTAATTTTTTTAAAGTATAATAATTATACTATTAAAAAAATTAAATTTTTTTAAAAAAAATATGCTTGGTTGCCGTTTTTTGAAAAAAAATTTGAAAAAATGATTTGAAAACTGTTTTTTGAAAAAAAATGCTTGTTTGGTTTTCAAAAAAATATATCATTACAATTTCAAATTTCCCTCTAAATTAATGATTGAAACAATTAAAAAAATACAAAAAAATCACATCAAAACATTCTCTCAGATTTTTTAAATATATATATATACATACATATATGTACCTATATGTACCTATTCTACTAAAGTCTACCTATCTCATTTTCAAAGTCTGCCTATATATACCTATTCTGCTAAAACCTATCTATCTCATTAATTTTTTAAAAAACATAACTCATTTTTTAAAATAACCAGACAAATTATATAAAATTTTCAAAAACTCATACTTAAAAAATCACAACCAAATCAAACAGAGTGATTATTTTAAAATGGAAGGTGTAATTGACTTTTAACGGGCAAATAGTTACCAAAATTGGCAAATGAGGTGGTCCAATCTTCCTCGTTTTCACTAGTATGTCTAGTACCTACACCCACTCATACACACCAGTCTCTGACATATCACATCATCATATTTCTCCATGAGAAATTATAGTTTGTCCTCCGGGGCAAATTTAAATGATGCTTCAACATACATTTCATTCATTAAAATAATAGGTTTTATCAATTTTTGTCTCTTATGAAAAGCCAACATAACAAATATCATAGTTTGTGTGGTGTGTAACAATACTCTGAAACACTAAGGTCAAGTTTGGCATAATTAAAAAAAGATAAAAAGTTAAAAAGTCACTATTCTATTTAAGTCACATCATCTTATTTAAGTTACATCACCTCTCTAACACATCACTTCAAACCCAACCCAATCTTAACCCATATTTCATAAAAAGTCAAAAAGTGCACTTATTTAGGCCTCGTTTGGCAAGAGGCTATTTTAGCCAATTAGCCAAAAAGTTACTAAATTAGCCAAAAAGCCAACAACCCATACTAAAAAGTCAAAGATTCTCTTTTCTCTCTACTTTTTGCACATCTTTTCGTAATTAGCCAAAAAGTCATCCCAAACATATAATTTTTTTTTACCTACATTTTTAGCCAAATAGCCAAAAAGTTACTAAATTAGCATGTTCCCAAACGAGGCCTTAGTCTTCCCAAACTAGGCCTAAATAATTTCTCTTTCTCCACCTGCATTGTTTGAGATTTTACTAATTTACTAATGCCTTTGCCAACCCAAAAAGAAAATAAAAAATAAAAAATAATACAATAGGCATAAAAATGTATCATTATTCAGTTTTGTTTTTTTCAAAAAATATGCAAATGCATATGGGAGAAAAATCAATCACCCAGACAAATTAAGATACATCCAAATATTAGACCTCAAAAAAAATAAAAAATAAAAATAAATCAATGAAAGAATTAGACTTCAATAATGTCAGTGAAAAATAATTAAAAAAAGTGATAAATATTAGAAATATTAATAATTAATATCATAATTTTTTTCACTAATGTATAATAATTTTTCAAAAACTATTCAGGTAATTTCCCCAAAATCAATCACCCAGACAAATTAAGGTACACCCGAACATTATTACTCACTACAAAACCCCACAAAAACAGCCATAGATTGGTAGAAAATACTAAATAACATTACATTATTTCATCCTACAATATGTATATTATTTAAAACAAAGGAAAATTCTGCCGAAGCTTTCCTGAAAATCTGTAGCACATGTTTCACCATAATATCATAAAAAATATATCATGTAGAGGGCCTATGATGCTTAGGGGTTGTTGTATGGATGCAAGTAGCAGTAGTAAGGGTATCTTATACTTTTCGAATCTCTCTCGATGCATATCATCTTCCTGTATCTTTAATTTTATGTTTTAATGATTTTTTTTTTTATTGATAGAAAAATGTAGAGGGCTTATGATGCTGGAATTCCAAACAGTCCATATTCTTCATGCGTGACATGCAGTAGTACCAAAAAAAAATTCGAGATATGAGACTACATATTAAAATGAGGTCACAAGTTTTTTTTTTTTAAATTTTTTTTTTTTGATAGGCCTCAGACAATAAGCTAAGGAGAAATCACTATACAGTAAAAAATATATATATAAGGGAGTGCAAGTTATATCTTCATAGAATTTGAATTGCATTTTATTATAGGATGAGTTGTCCCTACCATATCTATGTATTTTTTTTTTACAGTAATGTTAGGTATCATAAAAATATTTTCATAAAAATAATTATGAAAATTTCATAATCCTTAAATTATACTTAGAATAAAATATCATACACTAATCAAAATAATTCAAAGAACATAAATTTTTCCTAATCCCCACTTTTTCCTTTTTCTTAATATCCTCCTGTTAACTAATTTCCCGAGATAAGCTAAGTAACTTGATAGTTGTGCCATCTCTGACACTGCCACCATGCCCGATACTCCAATGAAAACAACAATGATACAGACCACTAAAATATCACCACTAACATCACCACTAATGAGGTGGCAAATCTCCCCAAAAAAAAAAAAAAACTAAGGCACAAAACATATGTGGTAATGGATGAGACCCACTACCACATCCCTAGTGCAACCACTAATTAGTGGTCTGCATCATTTTTCCCAATGAAAATATTGGGTGTTTAAAGTTCGAGGGAGAGAGAGAGAGAGAGCGCGACATACAAACAAGTGTGTGCATGGCTTCCTCACCTGTTAAGGATGAGAGTGGAAAAATAACTGCACACTTGATAAATAAAAATAATAATAATTATTATTATCGGCAAAATAAGAGTACAAGGTGTTTGTGTGTGTGCGTGAGAGAGAGAGACTTTTCTACCTCTCTTGCTTGTAGTTGTAGCACATAAAAACACATTCATTCACATGTTAACCTAATATTGGATATTATTTGGACTTCTCTGGGGCATATAGCTATCAATCATAGAGATTCACATGTAACTCAAACTTATATATATTGGGAAGAGTAAGATTTATCCTTTGACAGCGTACTTCGTCCACCCACATTTGCATACAATTTATCAAAGTAGAAAATATGAGAAAAATAAAGAAACAAGAAGAGGAACAAACAAAAAAGTTAAAGATAAGAAGGTTCCCTTGATTATTCTTGCTCACTACTTTCTCTCCACTTATGGACTGCTTGCAGTACTGATTGCTTCACCCCTTGTGCATCTATCTGCTGATCGGCTTGTCCTTCATTCAACACCTACCTCAACCAAACACATTCACGACACACATAAGCAGAAATCCTATAATTTCTGTTGACGTAGTCATGATTTTTTTTTTTAATTGTCGGCAACAAAAAAGAGTTTTACAACAGTTAAATCAACCATATCAGTTGTGAAAAAAATTATGAATTGATACGTATTGAGAACTGATCCATACAAATGTTTTATTCCCACCCATTACGGGGTGTATTGTGTATTGACAGATACGATAGGAAATGTATCAAGCTGTGTTTAAAATTATGTGTTTATGCGTGACTGCGTGCGTGCACGAGAGAGAGGGGGGCACCAATCAGTATCAATGATAGCATTGTGATATTTGGAGTATCGAATGAAACCCAGATGATGCAATCGTCAATTTTTAAAATCATGAGAAAAAAAAAATAGCTTTATAGCAGTTGAACCAATTGTATTAGCTATTAATCAATTATGAACGCACGGGTATTGAGAATCAACTGATAGGCATGCGATTTTCATTCTCACTAATATACTGGAGTGTATTGGTATAAAAAAGTCAAAAACTCGAAACATATCAGTTGACATGATATGTATCGAAAAGAATTCACTTTCTTACATATCCTCCAATTGCTTCGAGATGGAAGTCGGTTGAGCAAGAAACCCTAGCTTGGAGAACATCAAGTCCCATAGATTCAAAGGCTTCTAATATGAAAACAAGCAAACCATTGCAACTTCTTTCAGAAACCACACTAACTAGAAATCCCTTTTCTTGGTCTTCCACATGGACCTGCTGGTGATAGATTGATCAAAAACCCTAGTTAATAGTTATATATACTTAGCAAGAAAGCACAAGAAAATAGGAATATGGACACAATTTGAAATCTACCATAGGGAATGAATTTTGGGCAGTGGAGTTTTGTGCCTCTGCAATCTCTTGATTTACTCTTTCCATTTTTTGCTTCAGATCCTTTATGTACTTCAACACATCTATCATAGTAGATGTTTTCCTTTGCTTAACAGATTGAAACAAGAAACGCACAGCAAAACATCATGTTAGATTTCTACTATAGTACTCTCTTGGTTTTAAATACTATGTTTAGACAACAAAGTCAAGCTCTCTTGTTGGAAAATAATTTTATATGCTTATCGATTTTGAGGCAATTCATTAGAGTTTGAAATGGAAATGACAGAGAAATCAGGATTCAGGATGATCAAAGAGAAACAATTGGAATTTGGAATTATATCTCGCATATGATTACATGTAATAAATAAATAAAGACTAAGAATTAAGAAGAAAAAGAACACAAAGTTCGAGAAAGGCCATCAACTAAGATGGGAGGATGAGATTGCAATGAATTAAATTTATCTTTATCATCTACAAGAAAGTTCTTTGTTTATAAAACCGTGTGGGGTTTCATATCTTTCTTTTCAGTTTGAACTTTTAAGTCTCCGAGATCCTTTCGATGACCTATGTTTGTTGAAAGGATCGATCTATACAATCCAACCTCCTATATTATTGAAGGTTAATGAATTTAAAGTTAATTGCAAATTTAACTTGGAGTTTGGAAATCAAGGGCTTGAAAAGAAGACATGATTGATCTTTCTCCCAAAAATAATAGGTCATGGGATGGAGAACAAGAAGAAGAAGAAGAAGAAGACATTATTGATCTTTCTACCAAAAATGTTTTCACAAGAAAGGTTTACAACTGTCTTTTAGGAGAGAAGAGGGTGACAAGCAAGGCAAAGAAAACAAGAAATATAGAGAGTTACTGCATGGGGATTTGTGATGGAACGAAGTAGTTGTAGCTTCCTATACACGGCTGCTTTCTTCTGCTCCTTGGAAACCATCTCCCTCTCCCTCCCTCCCTCCCTCCCGCCCTCTAACATCACCTCAAGAAATTATTAACACTTAAATCTCACCTCTCTCTCTCTCTCTCTCTCTCTCTCAAAAACACATAAGCCATGGGGGCTGACATGCTTTTTTAAAGGGGTGAGAGCCCCCTCATCAATCTGAAAAGGTGATGCGGTTTTGAAATTACCAAACCCACCCTAATGCCACAAACAGCTTATAGATATGCACATGCCTTTTCATTTTGTAATTTTTGTATTTTAACTGTTTGCTCAATAATGTTATAATGATTATATTTTTATATTATATTTAGTTTATTATGAAAATTGTCAACACTATAATAATTTAAAAACCTCTCTTCACTTATTTTTATTTCAATTGTGATAGAAATTCTTATATATACATGGTCTCAACAACATTTACTCTCATTTTAATCACTCATAATATGGAGTCCATATATATATGAGCAGATTTTACACACACATCAAGTGTCAAGATCAAATTAGGATCATGAAACCCCCAAAAAAGTAGTCCAAACATTCCTGTTTTTATTTTTAGACTTCGAGATAAGTCAAACTTTTGTTTGTAATACAGGAACAACAAATTCATATGATCAACTAGGGGTTTGTTTGGAATGTTAACTTCTTGTTTTTTTAGCTATTTTAGTCTAAGCTTAAAAAGTTTCATTTGAGATAGATTTTGTTGACTTTTTAACTTTTATGAGAGAAAAAATGAATTTCTTATAGTTTGAATGTGATATTTTATTTTATTAACTTTTTAACTCTTTTTTTTTTTTTACTATTTTAACCCTGTAACTTTATGCTAGACGAATGCTAAATGTGATTATTGTAAAAGTTCTGTTCTTTGAAAAAGAAAACATAATTTCTTCTAATTGGTTGTCAAATGACACATGGATAAGAAGACAAGAATAATTTTTGTATCTAACATTTGGTAGTAAGTGAGATATTGTCAAGTGGTGGCTTATTTGAACGTAATTGATTTATATAATGAGATTTATTATATTTGTTTATATTTTATTTAATAATGAGACTAACAATTGATGATTTTTTGTGGGGCTACCACCTATCAATGGCGGATGGCATCCTGATTATATAAAAAGTAAAATTCTACATTTGGACATTTCAAAATTTCTTCCCTTTTAAGTCCTCATGATAGGTAGAAGAGATGCCAACATCTTATAAAGTCCTTAGGATGATATCATACAATGAGAAATTAAGTTCATCTCTCACCTCATTGCATTTGCTTTTTTAATATAATTTTTTCCACTGTATATCTTGTCAATTATGTTTAGGTATCAAACTTTCAGTGACATCCAAATCAACATAGCTGGCTTTTCAAATAAATTTTAAAAGGAAAGATTATGATCCACACCCCTCAAGGGTATATATCATATGCACTTTATAATTTTTTTTTTTTTTAAATGGCATAACTTTTTATGTTCTGAGCCATAAAAAAAAGAAGAAGCTATAATCAAACAATACATAAGACATAATCAAATAACTCATTAGTCATAACTAAAAATAATAATAATTAAAAAAAATTACATAACTTAAAGGTGCATACAGTGGAGAGTATATATAGTAAAATTTTTCATTTTTAAAAGTTACTCATCTTATCACGTGACAACATATAATTTGAAAATATTATCAAAACTAATCTTAGACGAAGCAAGATATTTTTAAGTCTTGTTAACAAGTACTCTTATGTTTGAGGAAAAAAAAAAAAAAAAACCTTACTTTTCATTAATTTCAACTTTAAAGTAATTTTTTTCACAAATAATTATATTAAACAATGTCCTAGGCATACTTCTTTTTTTTATAACGTAGTATCTAGACTAATTCCATCGTTTATTTGTGGGGGTCTCAATTAAAATTAGGATAAAAATCTGACCTGGCCTTAAGAAATTATTAACAGCTAAATATATTTGTACCAATTCCATCGTTTATTTGCAGGGAATCTCAATTAAAATTAGAACAAAAATCTAACATCACCTCAAGAAATTATTAACACTTAAATATATTCGTACCTAAAATCTTGAGGGAGCGTACCCCGAAGTCTCAAAGTCTTAACCATAAGGCCAAACTTTGGGATTATGTCCTAGGCATACATATTGACATTTCCATCTATTTTTTTGTGACCAAACAAAAGAAAAAAATACTATATAGAATTATAATTTTCTTGGGGCGTTTGTTGCGTCTTTATCACCGCTTGGTTTGGTGCTATCATATGTTTGCCTTAGTTTTTTTGGTCAATTTAGTTGGCATTTAGAAGTTTAGCTATGATGATGCTTGTACCATTCCTCCCTTTATTTATGTAATGTCCTTATACTTTGTATTAATTTTTCATCAATAAAGGTCTCTTTTTTGTTGATCAAAAAAAAAAATTATGAAAAAGCTTATGGTGTGCACTCTTTTGGGGTGCATATGCACCTTACCATAAATTGGTATAATTTTTTCATAAAATTTCGTAATATTAATCACAAAATACAGAATTTCACCACAAATTAGCGTTACAAAATATCTAAAATTTTGTATTTCATGTAACAAAAATTTGTGTTAAGGTTACGACATTTTTTGTTATGTCAATTTATAATGAGATTACAAATTTTATAATTGATATTATAAAATTTTGTAATAAAATTATATCAATTTGTAATAGGGTATATATGATGTGCACCCATAGATTTTTCCCGATTTTATATGAATAATGATAACACAACAAATAGAGGATAGTTTGGGAATTGAGCAAAGAATGGAAAAAGACGTAGTGCATGGAGGGTACAGAGGTGGGGGTGGCTAGCATAAGTTGTAGAGAGTGAAGATGAAAGAATTTTGGCTCGTGATTGAAAGAAAGGCATCTCCCAACAATTGTGATTTTTGAATACCTCCAAGCCATACTCACGGGGGAAAATTAATAATCTCTCTCTCTATCACTCTCTCTCCACCCTATGTTTCCTATCTATGTAGAAGAAAAAACAAAATGTCAGTAATAACATTAATAAATAAAGCAAAGATTTCTAAGAACACGTACATGTTGCAGGCACAAAAACAAGGAAAAAAAAATGCAAAAGATAAGAAACAACAAAGAGAAAAAAAAATGTCATTTGGGCAGACACAAAATTCTAATATAAGGAATGAACATATATAAAGGCCTAATTACAAAAGGGTGACTTTTGGGATTAGACTCTAAGGAGTTGAGATTTCAGAAATCATCCTTAGGTGATACTATATAATAGGGTCATTCAACCATATAGCGGTAAGTCGCAGACCTGCACATAGAGAGGGATTTGAATCCATACTTCTGACACTGGGTATAGTTCACCTAGGCCTGAAAGGTTCGTCCTACCAACCATCGCCCAAGTGACTGGCCCCGGAGAGAATGGAACCTAGGACCTCAAGACTTATGCCTCAAGCCTTACCAAGTTGATTTTTATCAATATAAAATGTGAAAAATAATATGAAAACATATATAAATAAATTTTTTATTTTATATTCACAAATTTTTTTTTTTTAGATCGGCAAAGAAAACTTTATTGATAAAACACTTACAAAGGATGATAAATTACATCAATAAAGAGGAGTTTGGAGCTAATTCAAGCTACAATCTCCTAGTTGGTGAGAAACCAACAAACAGAGCAAAAGCAAGACAAGTCCTGAGCATAACAGCATAACAATCCGCATTACATAGCAGACCAACAGGTCAGATCAACCATCACCTCTCTACATAGTTACTAAGGCTATACAGCCACAAAGACTTCACAACACAAGAACCAGAGTTCACACAGCATCACTTCTGCGTTATACACTAGATCTAACATACTACAAACAGATAACATCACCATAATCTAACATTAGCAAACAACAACAGATATCAAACTACAAACAACAACAGATCCTGAGCAAGCTCCAACCATAGAGGAGATAAGAAGGAGAAGAATAGAAGCAATCACAATATTAACTGGAGAATCAAGCATTGCCCCTGATTTGTCTCCATTTGAAGATAAGATCATTAACTGTATAGGGGAAATCCTTAATTGAAGCTTTGAGCCAAAAGGCTGATCTAATTTTGATGAGTTCAAGTAGACCAGATGAGTTGGGTTGTGTGTTAGAAAATACACATTCATTTTTGTGCTTCCAAAGAGGCCAAAGAACAATTAAGGGGATGGCTCTCCAAAATGACCTTTCAAGCTTCTGAAATTTACCACCCATCCACCAAGTAAGCCGATCATCTACTGATGTAGGAATGCACCAATGAAACCCCCAATCTTCAATCACTGCAAACTATATTAACCAAGAGAAAGGGTAATGAAGCAGGACATGAGTAGCATATTCCATTTCAGAGCTACAGAAGGGGCAGAGGGACGAGGCATTGTTGTCAAGAATACCAATCTTGTGCAAAAAAACTGAAGATTTGATCTTGTTTTTTCAGGCCAACCAGCAAAAAAAGGAAACTCTAGGGGGCAATACAGAACTCCAAATATGTTTGTAGATTCTTAGATGGGGGCCTAGGAGAGAAGAACTGTGCGAATAAAGAGCAGAGACAAAGAGCTGTGTAAGGCCTACAGAAGCATTAGACCAGACCTACAGTCTGCAGTTTCCATATTCAGATAAGGAGCTGAGGATAATATAGCAATCAGTCTAGATTCTTCAGCCAATTCCCAAGTATACAACTCTCTTCTATGAGGGAAGTTCCAAACACTTGGGTTTGTTTTCCTAGAAAAGAATTGGTAGAGAGAGCCTTTCTGATCAGTTGAAAGATTAAAAAGAAGGGGGAAAAAATCGATTTCAGGCAAAGGGCACCACACCACCTATCAAACTAAAATCTAATTCTGTTACCATTCCCCACTTTGATTAAACAGTTGTTCATGAAGAAGTTGAAAATAGGCTTGTTATGAGCCCCAATGGATAAGATGTCACTCCACATTCTAGAATGCTTGTAAGAAGGCCTCAATGGAGGATGCCAACAATCTTCCTTAATCTTACATTTACTGCAAACAGCTCTCCTCCG